ATCTTCACAGTGAATGAGAAGTCAAAGGCGTATATGAATAAAACAGAAGACTGCACTTTCGTTGCAACATACGGTTGTTTCGCAATTCAAAAGTAACGTAGTAGTTCGCCGTGTTGAAAAAAAAAAGAAAAAAAAAAAGACAAAATGCATAGATGATGAAGATGCATAAAATAACCTCCTCTAAAAATAATATTTTGTTAGAAGACAAAACTTCGTTTCCTTTTCTTTTTTCTTATTATACGACCTAATATTTAGGATCTTATCGACAAAATTTTGAAAAATAATACTGATTCCTGCATCGACAAAATGGCCTAATTTACAGAGTTTAAGTAAATTTTAAACAAAAATTGATTTTTTTTAAAAAGAGCGAAATACTGTCGTATTTTAATCCCCACTAGATACACGCACATCGGACACACTTAGGATATTCATTAGGAAATAAAATATATAGGATCCAAAATTTGGTGTTTATCGGATATAGGACGATAAGCTAATTCGATAGTCACAATACGACATGAATTTGGTATTCTAATTATAATTCACATTGTTAGTTAGCTTGTAATATAATCACCTTAAATCACTCAAACTCACTATGCAATATATTTCATTCAATTCTTTTGTGCCAAAATAATTAACTACCTGAACATCTTCTACAAGTTTCATTACGTCAATGGGGTATAAGTTGATTGAGCTCTTCTACCTCCATTCATGTGGGCAAAAGTTCGAGACACCGAGGCACCCAATGAATATTTGTGTAAACCACCCTTCCCCAATCACTTGTGCTATAAAAAAAAATATTCATTACAAATTTCCATGTTTTTCTCATCATTTCCATTGTTTTTTCTTAATCTAGTTTTTATCAATATCGATAATTTTTCATAGATATATATTTCCAAATTTTTAGACCACAAATATTTTTGAAACCATCAATATTTAATACCTTAATTACTTCTTACCCAAAAAATCTTAGGAAAATTAGGTATTAGACATAGATAACTTTACTTATTAGTATTTAAGACATTTGATATTTTGGTTTGGGTTTTAATACCTAGAAAAGAATTGTTATTTTGGATTAGGCCAAAGAGGAAGACCAGATTTGTTGACCCACCTTACATTAGTCATTAAAAAGACAATTATACCCTTTTCATTTAAAAACCTAACCCAAATTCATTAGTTTCTCAGATCTCTCTCTCTCTCTCTCTCTCTCTCTCCCCATGTCTTCTCCCTTTCTCCTCCCCTCTGTTTCGACCGACACCGACAAAACCCCCAGCCACTGTCACGTCGGCCACCCAGCCACCGAACCGGTCAAGTTTTGACCGGCGTCGC